TCCTATAAATATGCTCATAGCTACTTAAAAATTGGAAATAAAATTTTGTCTAGAATATGGAAATACTTAAGCAATAATAGAATAATACAGATTTTTAAAAAATACATACCTAGAATAACTTAATGTTTGGAAAAAACAGGAATGCAATAATGCTATGTGATAAAAGCAGAACATAAAAAAGGGTGTCCAAAAGGCTTAGAAACACAGGGGAATGTACTTTTAAATAGTATGTCTGTTATATTTCAAAGATTGATCCTTGAACAACATGGGTTTGAACTACATGGGTCCACTCATGGGGATTTATTCTAATAAATGAATTGGTAAGTTTTTTGGAGATATTCAACAATTTCAAAAAACATTTCCTTTCCTCCAGCTTACTTTTTTGTAAGAATGTAACACAAATAACACAAAATATGCATGAATCCCCTATTTGTGTTATCAATAAGGCATCCGTTCAACAGTAGGCTATCAGTAGTTAAGTTTATGGGAAGTCAAAAGTTTTGTGTGGATTTTCAACTGCATTCGGATCAGCACCCCTAGCCCCTAATGAGTCAACTCTAACATCATTAATATGTCTTCCATCTCCAGACAACTTTTCAGAAGTATTTCAAGCAATAGATGTGGTTATCCATTTGAAAAATGGATAATACAAACCACTCATAAAGTCCAAAATCAATCAGATCTATTGCTCTAAATTTAGAGGTATTTCACTTGAAAATGTATATGGAGGTTGAATTAAAAAAACAGATTAAGCATATTACTTGAAAATTTAGCTAACACATTTAAGTATCATGTTTCAACTTATTTTTAAACATCGGAAATGTAGCAAATCCAACTCTGTTTAGCTGACTCAACTGTAGAGGCAGGATTCAAGAAAGGTAAAGAAAGAAAGGAAAGACAAAATACCTCTAATATTCCTCCATTCCTCTAGGGCACCTCAGAGAAACAGAAATATCTCCAACTTCCAAATATTCTATGCCTTACCCACTTTTCTCCTCATCTTTCATTATTACAGTGTGTAATTTTCAGCAGCTGCCACACCACAATTCTCTGTGGCCATGTTTTGCATTATGACTCACTACCCTGTTTATCAGTATTTGCCCAGCAGTGTTTCAAGCTCTTTGTACACTTCTGCTATTGATGTCAGTCAGCTCACACCATCGGATGCAGAGGAAAGGAGAGGAGCTGTTGCAAAAAAGTCCGGAAAGCAAGATTATTACCTGTTGCTACAAAACCAAGATTTCCTATGTATAATGAGCTGACTCCAAAGCATTCTGCCACCTATTTTAGGTAAGGCAAAATGGAAAAGTAAGCCACAGAAGTAGACTGATTTGGAGTTAGATTCTATGCAGAATTTCAAAGGAATGAGTATTCCTTTGATAGAAAACAAAAATCTAGATGCTTTAATCTTTCCTTCAAATAGGAAGTTATAAATTTAGAACTATATATTCTCCCCAATTGCTTTAGAGTAATTATCACTCTGAATTTCCCCAAAGGATGTTAATATAGTTGAATTCTTAATAAACTGTTCTCTGTGACTTGGTTCTACCCAAAAAAGAATACAGAAAGCAATATCAAAACACAAAATCAGCATGAAATTAGCACTAAAAACATAACTAGGCTTTCTTATTTTCTTTGTACAGGCATACCTTGTTTTACTGTGTTTTGCTTTATTGCACTTTGTAGATACAAATTGAAACTTTGTGAAAACCTTGCCTTGAGCAAGCCCATCGGTGCCACTTTTCCAAAAGCATTTGCTCATTTCATGTCTCTGTGTCACATTTAGGTCATTCTTGCAATATTTCAAACTTTTTCATTATTATAATATTTGTTATGGTGATCTATATCCCGTGATCTTTGATGTTACTATCATAATTGTTTTGGGGCACCATAACTGGACCCACATAAGATGACAACCTTAGCTGATAAATGTGTGTGTTCTGACTGCTTAACTGACCAGCCATCCCCCCATCTCTCTCTCTCACTCCTCAGGCCTACTTACTCACTGAAACACACCAATATTGAAATTAGGCCAATTAATATCCCTAGTACTGCTTCTAAGTGTACTAGTGAAAAGAAGAGTTGCACATATCTCACATTAAATCAGAAGCTAGAGATGATTAGGCTCAGTGAGGACAGCATGTGGAAAAGTGAGTAGGCTGAAAGCTAGGCCTCTTGTACCAAAGAGTTAGCCAAGTTGTGAATGCAAAGGAAAAATTCTTGAAGTAAGTTAAAAGTGCTACTCCAATGAACACAGGAATAATAAGAAAGCAAAACAGCCTTATTGCTCTATGGAGAAAGTTTTAGCGGTCTGGATAGAAGATCAAACCAGTTACAACATCTCCTTAAGCCAAACCCTAATCCAGAGCAAAGCCCTAACTCTCTTTAATTCTATGAAGGCTGAGATTGGTGAGGAAGCTGCAGAAGAAAACTCTGAAGCCAGCAGAGGTTGGTTCATGGGGTTTGAGGAAAGAAGCCATCTCCATAACATAAAAGTACAAGGAGAAGCGGCAAGTGCTGATGGAGAATCTGCAGCAAGCTACCCAGAAGATCTAGCTAAGATGCTCCATGAAGGTATCTACACTAAATTTCATTTTTGAATGTAGACGGAACAGCCTCCTATTGGAAGAAGATGCCATCTCTGACTTTCACAGCTAGAAAGAAGTCAATGCCTGGCTTCAAAGCTTCAAAGGACAGCCTGACTCTCTTTTTAGGGACTAATTCAGCTGGTAACTTGAAGCCAGTGATCATTTACCATTCCAAAAATCCAAAGACTCTTAAGAATTATGCTAAACCTACTCTGCCTGTGCTCCATAAATGGAACAACAAAGCCTAGACAACAGCACAATTTATTGAATATTTTAATGAGGCCACTGTTAGGACCTACTGCTCAGCAAAAAATTCCTCCAAAATATTACTGCTCATTACCTCTTCACCCAAGAGCTCTGATGGAAATGCAAAATGAGATTAATGTTTTCATGCCTTCTGACACAACATCCATTCTGCAGCCCATGGATCAAGGAGTAATTTCAAGTATTATTATTGAAGAAATACATTGCATAAGGTTGTAGCTGCCATAGATAGTGATTCCTCTGATGGTTCTGGGCAAAGTAAATTGAAAGCTTCCTGGTAAGGACTCACCATTCTAGATGTCACTAAGAATATTTATGATTCATGGGAAGAGATCAAAATATCAACATTAACAGGAGTTTGGAAGAAGTCCGGCTCTCATGAACTTTGAGGGGTTTAAGACTCCAGTAGAAGAAGTAACTGCAGATGTGGTAGAAACAGTAAGAGAACAAGAATTATACATGGAGCCTGGAGATGTGACTGAATTGCTGCATCTCATGATAAAATTTTAACAGATGAGGAGTTGCTTCTTATGGGAGAACAAATAAAGTGGTTTCTTGGGATTGAATATACTCCTGGTGAAGATGCTGTGAAAATTGTTGAAATAACAAGGGATTTAGAATATTATAAAAAACCCAGTTGATAAAGCATCATCAGGGTTTGAGAGAATTGACCCTAATTTGAAAGAAGTTCTACTATGAGTAAAAGCTATCAAAACCACCTGCCATGCACAAAAGGATGAGCCAATCAATGCAGCAAACTTCATTCTCTGCTTTTAAGAAATTGAAGCCACTCCACCTTCAGCAACCACGTGCCTGATCCATCAGCAGCCATCAGTATCAAGGCAGCACCCTCCACCAGCAAAAAGATGACTCCCTGGAAGCTCAGATGATGATTAGAATTTTTTTTAGCAATAAAGTATATTTTTATTAAGGTCTGTGCATTGGTTTTTTTTTTTAACATAATGTTACTGCACACTTAATAAGCTATAATATATGCTCAAGTGCCTACAGCTCAGAACCATCAATATCCCAAAGCAGCATATTTTGAGGTGGCATGTCCTAAACTCCTGTTTTGGGTGGCGTATTCTGCTACCCTTCAGTGGGAACCCCCAGCTGCACCATAATTCTGATTCTCTCAGAAGTTGTTTCCTTTTCTGCCAAATAAACTACACTTTACAGAGAAAAAAAATAGACTACAGTATAGTGTAGACATAACTTATATGTACAGCAAAACCAAAAAATTCACTTGACTTGCTTTATTGTGATATTCACTTCATTGCATTGGTCTGGAACCAAACGCCAATATCTGAGGTATGCCTGTAGGTGTTATTTACAGTGACAAGTTGGAATTCAATTGATCTCTGCCAGGTTACCTCAAAATGTCAACTCCTTTTATTACCTTGAGATGCTCTAAGATTAATAAAGAGCTCTCCTGCAGGAGACTTCTGAGCGGACAGGAAGGATCTGAGAGGCCTGAAGGAAGCGGAGCCCACCAGATTGGCTCTGCAAGTTCAAGACCATACATGCACATGTACACACACATACATGGTTTCCCTCCTTTCCCAGCTTTCTGGAACTGCTTCCTCCTCACACACACCCCACCCCACCACCCCACAACCCCATTTGTTTCCTACCCTGGAACTTAGTGAAGTCCAATGAATGAAGGGAAACCATTAAAAAGAAAGGAATTAAGCCCTTACTATGGTCTCTTGGTCTCCATTATACCTCAGTTCCCCTCCTCCCAAGTTCTACCAGCTTTTATACAAGAAACTGCTGCTTCCTTGCTGTTGGGCCACATGTTTCTGTATCTAATGCTTTCTTTTAATTAGACCTGCATTTTTCGTTTAATTCCTCTTGGCAGTTCTCATCATCCTTGTCCTTCCAACACATACACACACACATCATGCCCGCCTATGCAACATCTAGGTTTCTACAGCTGAGGGGTATTGGGTCAGTCAGGGAAAGGGTAAGGAGTTGGGAAGGAAAGGGAAGAAGGCGGGGGTACAAAGGAGGAAGGAAGGGCAGAAGGAAAGCAAAGGAGGGGGAAAGACAAGAATCTTCTGCTTCTTCGTCACAAGAGGATACAAGATACATTTGAAGAGCTTTCACCAACAAAACGACCTATATTTGCTAAATATTTGCATTTACCATTTCCTGGTTGTCTGTCAACATAAGGAGATGTGAGTCTTTGGCTAAGCAGAATTCCAGACTTGAATTCCAGTCCTTTTCCTCCAGCGAGAAATAATAACAATGGTCACCATACCGCATCCAGAGGTCTGGGCAGCTAGAACAGCTGGCACAGGTGGAGTGCTTGGAACCTAGAAAGAAGAGGACCTGGTTCACATCTCTATGGGCTTGGCCATGAAATGGGAGCTGAAGTGGAATCTGGCAGTCCCAGTGTCTTCCCTGTCCCACCACCTTACAGATTAAGGTTCAGAGAAATGCAGAATGCATGGCTTCAAATTAAATGCCTCACAATGGCCAATTCCATCACTGCTACTGTACCTTGCACCAAGCAGGATGTAACTATGAGTAAAGGTGAAGGGAAGGAAATGGGCACAAGGTGGCTGAGGACTGTGGAGAGAGTACATTACTTGTTCTAGCGATCTTTGTGTGCATGTAATATATACATACGGTGTACTGTCTACACAGACCTAGTGCACACACTGTGTAATTGCATAATGTATACTGTTTAAATCAGGCAGAATCTCTCAGAATACCTAACCTGAACCTGATGCCCCAAAACATTGCAGAAGAAAAGAACAGAAACTAGAAAGAGCAAACTTAACAAAAATAAAAGTTGGTTTAAGTTTTTTTAATCCCAAATGCAATTGCTTGCCATCAATGGAAATTGGATAAAAGACTAGTACTTCAGCAAAAAAAGAATTTACTTTAGATAACAAAAAAAAAATTTTCCCAACACAGGAGGATATCCTATGCCTGTGAAAAGTGATAAATTTCACTTCTGGAAATTTACCCAAAGAAAAGAAAATCACTAATTCAAAAAGATGTCTGCACACCTATGTTCATTGCAGCATTATTTACAATAGCAAAGATATGGAAGCAACCCAAGTGCCCATAAATAGGTGAATGGATAAAGAAGATGTGGTACATATACACACAAAGGAATATTACTCAGCCATAAGAAGAAAGCAATCTTGCCATTTGCAACAACATGGATGGACCTAGAAGGTATCATTTTAAGTGAAATAAGCCGGGCAGAGAAAGACAAATACCGTATTATTTCATTTAGAGGTGGAATTTAAGAAACAAAACAAACAGAAAAGAAATAGACCCACAATGAAAACGGACTGTTGGGTACCATAGGGAAGGGGGTGGGAAGATAGGTGAAATAGGTGAAGGGGATAAAGAGGTACAAACTGCAAATGGTAAAATAAGTTAGACATAGGAATGGAGGTATAACAAAGAGAATGTAGGCAATAATATTGTAATCATCTTGGTATGATAATGGGGTAACAACATTTACTATGGCAAGGAGGTAGTAGTGTATATAATTACTGAGTCACTATGTTATACGTCTGAAACCAATATTGTATATCAAATATATTCCAATAAAAAAAGAGAAAAAAAGTGATACAATTCTCACTGAATTCTTTTAAATACAGAACATTCTCATTCCTTTAAAACAGTTGTATTATAGTTCTGTGAAAATGAGAGGAAATTGAATAATTTCAACCAAGATTCCATTATTCAACTGATTTTCTACTTCCATGAGACATATCTGAATACACTTACCATAAGCATAATTCCACAACAGGCAAGTATGAGCCATTCTATCAAGTGAGCATGTGTGTAGATACGTAACTGCAGAATCAATCACATATATATTCTAGATTTGGGAGTTAAAAAGTAGAGAGAGTAGTTTTTTAATGTAAAGAGTAAACAACTTTTTTATGGGGACACCTGGAGTTCTGGAGATCGAGCTATAAAGTTGTCACCTTATATAGATTTGTGCCTTTTTCATACAAATACGCCATTACACACCTGAATGAGAAATTCCCAACTTTCCTAGGAGTCTCTTTCTGTCAAAGGTAGGAGTTGAGTCTGAGGTAGAGGTCCTAGGCTGAATCCACAGAATCCTAATGAATAAAATATTTATGACCTGCCACCAACAATCATCCCCACATAACATAAACCTGAGTTAGGACTCTGGACTGTGAAACAATAAATTGAGAGCCTCTGGAGCATCATATATGAGGATGTGGAAGAACTAAATTCAGAACAGTTCACTTTAGAAAAAGTGACAACTCTCTAATTGGAACAAAATTACAGTATGTTTATAATATTATATCTCTATTATGTGAAAAGTAAACATAACTAATATTGTAATTATAATTTGATTATCATGATAAACTAGTGGGTAGGAAAATGTTTATGATACAATATAAAATTAAAAAGCAAGGTATAGACAATTATAAGCATAAATAAGTAGAACTACACCTAGACTTCCTTTAAAAGACAAAAAAAGGTAAGGGAGATTTTAGAGGACTTGATTGAAATACTGTTATGAGAATAAACACTCACAGTAATGAATGTATTCAAAGACTGGAGGATTTGGCTACATACCCAGAAAATGGTGATTTATTTTGTTGGGATTATTTTTCATTTTTCAAATTTCTGTTATGTTAGGTTGCTTTTATAATACGAAATGGACAAAACAAAAGATTTATTTTGGTTTAAGCAAGTACTTACTTTGGCACAGAATCCATTGGGATATTATCAAGCTCACAAGAATGCCATTCAGAAGTCCAAAAGCTATTGCCACATAGCAAGAGAGAGAGGACCTGGAAAAAAAAGCTGCAAGAACAGAATCCAAAGCAAAATCTTGAGTCAGAATAAACAAAGGAAAAGGAAAGGTCAAGGAAGGGTATCTGGGATCTTTAAGGAATTTGGCGTTGTGGGAACTGAGAGCCAAACCCTAAAAATTCCTTTACCAAATCTGTTGGAACTTGCTCTTAAGTCCAGAGTAACCACCCCCATGTCTATCAAGGAACACACCATGCTTACCAAGTTAAGAATACCTTTTTCCTTTGACATTGTGGCTTACACAAGTCTCATGCTCTAGTGGTAAAAATACAAACTAGTACAGCCTCTTTGGAAGACAAAATTGCCATAGCATTTACCCTTTGACCCAGCAATTTCTCTATGAGAAAGGTTTCCTACAGATAACCATGTGCAAAATGTCATATTTATAAGGGTACTCAGGGCAACAGTATTTGCAGAAGGAAAAGCTTGAGCTTAACCTAAATGTCTACCAATAAAACACCAGTCAAATACTCTTTGATATATCACTAAAGTGCACATACAACTTCTAACAAAGGAATAAAGATGTGCTTTTTTACAGATATGCAGTGATTTTCAAGATATACAGTTAAGGGAAAGAAACATTCCACCAAACAATATATGCTAATATCTCTGAAAGTAAACTCAAGAATCTGGTAACAGTTTTGCCTCGGGGTGGGGAAACAGGTCATTGAGGACAGATAGGAAAGGGAGACTTTTTACCGATTTTGCACCTTTTGAAGTTTGAACCATGTGATGTATTACCTGTTGGGATGATGAGTTTGTTCTCTTTGGTTCTTGTCTCTGCAGCAACAACGAATTGAAGAGCAGAGACACGTAGTGAAGCAGAATGAAAGTTTTATTTGAATATACTCTAATGGAGGAACAGGCCAAAGTCAAGGCAGATAAAGGCAGGTTTACCTGAATAAAGCAGAGAGGAAGGAAAAACAGAGGGAGAAAAGGGAAGCTCATTTGAACTGCCACTTGGCATAGGGAATAATCCCTTGCCAACTCCTAAAGCCAGTGTCCCCTGGTGTCCAGTGTCCTCCTGAATCTGCTTGGTGTGGGAACTAAGTCCCTACCACTCCAGGAGTTGGGGAAGCCACAGAGCACTGGATGAACTGAGATTATGTTCTGAGAACTTCCTAAAAGCAAAGAAAATATTTTCAGGCAGGCTACTAAGGAGCATGACTGTATAGCTACAGTTCCGTCTGGGTCACCCCAGGCAACAGGAACTTGCAAGCCCAAATCAGAGCTCTCAGTAGCCATTCCCTACTAACCTGTAGTAGGACAGAGAGAGTGAAGACTTATGCTTAAACTCTGGAAAGTAGAACGGAATATCAAAGTGACAAAGACACCACTGGAAAAGCACGGAGACAAAATGTAGTAAGTTGAACAATAAAAAATCTTATGAAAATACACACTCTGAGAAAGGGGAGTGCAGGCAACCTCAGAGAGAAGGAGGCATGCCCAAAAGCTGGGATTCTGTCCTTTAAGGAGTTTCAAGAATGGGATAAAGGTAAAGGGTCAGGAGTGGGGTTGGGGAGCATAGGCTTGTCAGGTGGTCTCATGATGTTTATCTCCGATGAGAGATAATATGTCATCATCTATAGCCAGTTCTCTAGGTAATTCTGTAGGACAAATCTTTCATTCCTAAAACAGTGTCCACTCCCCAGTATTGGGAGCACAGGAGTTAAGACTGCTTGCCTTGCCTTAAGATAAGTCCCTCCCGTTTCTTATTATGCTAATGTTGGCATTTTTTTTTAAGGAAAATTAATCATGATGCTTGTCCCTTGTCTCTGCCCTATCTCACCTGCATTAGCTGGAGCAAGTCTCAAAGGCAGCCCGGATTCAGAGCATGTGGAATGAACTCACATGGCAAAGGACTGAGTCCTTGCTGGCTCTCTGGTTTAATCTGGTTCACTCCCTGAGTTGGTGGTGGGCCCCCACCCCCTTTTCATCCCACTTATCTCTGTCTTTCTACCTAACATTACCTATTCATAATTTAAATCTAGAAACACTAGTTTTTTACACACAAAAAAATGCATTTGGACTGTAGAATATTTAATGAATGTTAATTTTAGATGTTATGCTAAATGGAAAAAAGTATCAAAGCATAATTATATTTGCCTACCTATAATCCAGTTCAAGAATTAAGTGAAACACAAATTTAGTTTACTTTCAAAATATACACATTAAAAGCCTCTTAGTGGAGTACCTTTGGTAGAGTCAGCACAGAAACGCAAAAAATATCAAAGTAGTAATAGTGATGATCTCCATGTTGTAAAATTATTAGTGGTTTTTATTTTCTTGTTTCTGCTTTCACAGTTTCTCTATTTTCTATAATAAGCATGTAGTACTTTGTAAAGATGTTTTTTAAAGATGTTTTAAAGCTCCTAATCTATTTTCCCATTTGCAAGTAGAGCACCCTGGAAAGCCAGGGCAGGAATGATCATACTGGAAATAAATAAGAATGTGCAATATGCCCTGTGTATATATAAAAACCTAACTGCCTAGAAATCAAAATAATTATACTCACATTCCAAATTATCACCACTATGTGACCTTGCACTTATACTTTAAATGTACATTCCTTTTGATTAAACATTTCTACTCCTTAGAAATTAGCCCATATATAATCCAAAGGAAGGAAAAATCTATACAAATAAAAATACCCTATGTTGTACTATTTACAATAATAGAGATGAACTAAATCTAAATGCTCAAGTATACTGGAATATTTTAGCAAATTAGCCCAATGCTTTCAAAGGACAACACTAAAAATTATAATAAGACTAAGGAGGAAAAAGAAAAAGGCTTATAGAACTACACTAAAGATCATGCATTATTAGGAGTTTACTGCCTAAGATATAAAATCAAATGTTAATTTTGGTACTTACAGTATGATTTGCCTGTCTCAGAAACTATTTTTCAGAGCTCTAAGTAAAAAAAATGTTTTCACTCTCAAATCCCCAAAGAGTCACAGGGACTGCTCATCTGTAGTGTTTTTGATATGTTCTTGATACCCCTTGTCCCCATCCTCATGCAACACTACGGGGGCAGAAACCCAGATACGTGAATCAGTTTTTCTGACAAAGTAATACTAATACCAAAGACATCCAAACTGGTAAGGAAGAAGTAAAACTCTCTCTTTGTAGGTGACATGGTACTACATAAAGAAAACCCTAAAGACTCCACCAAAAAACTATTCAAACTAATAAATGGATTCAATAAATTTACAGGATATAAAATGAATATATAGAAATTTGTTGCAGTCTTATATATTAATAACAAACTAGCTAAAAGGAAAATCAAGAAAGCAATTCCATTTACAATTGTACCAAAAAGAATAAAATTCCTAGAATAAACCTAACCAAGGAGTAAAACACCTGAACTCTGAAAACTATAAGACATTGATGAAAGAAAATGAAGGAGACACAAACAGAAACCTATCCCATGCTCAGGGACAGGAAGAATTAACATTGCCAAAATGGCCATCCTTCCCAAAGCAACTTGCAGATTCAATGCAATCCCCATCAAAATACCAATGGCATTTTTCAATGAACTAGAGCAAATAATCCTAAAATTTATATAGAACCACAAAAGACTCCAAATAGCCAAAGCAATCTTTGGAAAGAACAAAGCTGACAGTATTGTGCTTCTTGATTTCAAGCTGCACTACAATGCTATAGTGATTAAAATAGTATGTTCTAGCACAAGAACAGATACACAGATCAATGGAACAGAATACAGAGCCTAAAAATAAACCTATGCATATACGATCAACTAATACATTTTAAAGGATGCAAAAATATACAATGGAAAAAAGGCAGTGTCTTCAATAACTGGCGTTGGGAAAACTGGACAGTTATCATCAAAAGAATGAAACTGGATCACTATTGAACACCATACACAAAAGTAAACTTGAAATGGATTAAAGACCTAAATATAAGACATGAAACCATAAAACTCTTAGAAAACAACATAGGCAGGAATCTCTTGAATGTAACTATGAGTAATTTTTTCAGGATGCATCTCCCTGGGCAAGGGAAACAAAAGCAAAAATAAACAAGTGGGACTAAATCAAAGTAAAAAACTTCAGTACAGCAAGGGAAACCATTAACAAAATGAAAAGGCCACCTATTATATGGGTGGAAATATTTGCAAATGATTTATCTGATAGGGGCTAACATCCAACATACATAAATAACTCATAGAACTCAACACCAAAAAAATAATAATAATAATTAAAAAATGTGCAGAGGACCTGAATAGACATTTTTCCAAAGAAGACATACAGATTGCCAACAGGCACATGAAAAGATACTCTACATCACTAATCATCAGGGAAATACTAATCAAAACCACAATGAGATATCACCTCACACCAGGCAAATGGCTACTATCCAAAAGATAAGAACAAACAAGTGTTAAGAAGGATGTAGAGAAAAAGGAACCTTCCTACACTGTTGGTGGGAATGTAAATTGGTGCACCCACTATGGAAAGCAATATGGAAGCTCCTCAAAAAATAATGCCATACAATCCAGCTATTCCACTTTTAGGAATTTACTTGAAGAAAACAAAACTACTGAATCAAAAAGATATATGCATCCCTAAGTTTATTGCTGCATTATTTAGAATAACCAAGATATAGAAGCAAACAAAGTCTTCATCAATAGATGAATGGATAAAGAAGATATGGTACACATATGCAATGGAATATTATTATAAAAATGAAAGAAATCTTGCCCTTGCAACACCATGAATGGACCTAGAGGGTATTATGTTAAGTGAAATAAGCCCGGCAAAGAAAGACAAATACCATATGATTTCACTTATATATGGGATCTTAAAAAAAACAAAACAAAACAAACAAACAAAACAAATAGACTCATAGACACTAAGAAGGGACTGGCAATTACTCTGGGGGAGGAGTTAGGACGAATGAAATAGGGGAAGGGGATAAAGAGGCACAAAAATCTCAATCATAATATAAATTAGTTACAGGGATGAAAATACAGCATAGAGAATATAGTCAATAATTCTGTAACATCTTTCTATATTAACAATAACCATGAGTTGGGGTGAGCATCTAATAATGTAGACAACTGTTAAATCACTATGTTGTATACTTGAAATCAATATAATAATGTATATCAACTATACTTCAATTAAAAAAATATATTACCCATTAGCAAAATTGACGTCTTTCCCTCATTTCATAATCAGAAAAACAGAGATACCTGGAATTTAGACAGCTGGTCCAAGGTTACTCCAAACATTACTGAAGAGTTAAAGTTCTCTCAACAATGTTCTTGCTTTAGTTTAGGAGCACTAAAGAATAATAGAATGCCCTAGCTTGTGTTTCATAGATGAGATCATAACAGTGAATGGTTAAAAAAAAATTTACCTGAAACTTAAGATCAGATCCTTGACCATATACCAAATTTTCATATTCCAACTCTGGACTTTGAACTGAACCAAAGTACTTCCCCACGTAAACTTCAATTTTTCTGCAGCCTCTACTCCAAATTTACATATCTCTTATTCATCCCCTGGTCTATGGTCACTGCACAGGTTTCCACACTAACATGGCTGACTCACCTTTTTGCTTCTGTCTCTGGTCATTCTGTTCTTGGGGTGCAGAAGACAATTCTAATATGGAATAAACTGAATTGTCAATCATCTCTACCTAATATCTTTTGCATTCAGTTGAGAGAGTAAAATTATAGAAGTGTGAGGAAACACACGCCAGTGAGGAAACAGCCCAATCTCTTAACTGCTAGCAGGAAGTGTGAAGGTTTAAAAAAAAAAGGTCCAGCATGATAAAAACAGAAGTAATTTTTCAAGAAATGACTCCAATTCTGGGGCTGCTTATAAAAATTAATATTCTCAACTGTAATTTTTTGTTTTTGCCTCACCACACTCTAGATGCTCACTAAATACATACTAAACTGATTCACCATATCACCTAATTCAGTTGAGCAAGAAAAAATTGCTCTTAAATCCAGGAATTTCAACTATGGAAACTGGGATTAAAAGGGGTGTTTCCTAGTTTTGAATTTATCTCAGATTTTGTATTTGCTTTGTTTCCTTTTGAGAAAATAGATGCAATGAAAAGGGACTGATTTCACTGTTACATGGAGCTTTTGGTATATATGTGATAGAGAAATGGACTGTTGGTTACAGATGCCTGGAATCATGAGAGAAATGGAATATTGCCCAGATAGATATTTTGTAAATATGCTGTATCCCTATGTTCCCCCAAACATTCTCCAAATTGTGCTCTAATCTTTACCAGTGTCAGAAATTGCATTAGGTTTTCTCTTCCTGTTCTCTTACCTTTATTTGCAAAGACAACCTAAAGGGGAACAAGTTAAATAAATACATACTAAAGTGTTAGTAATTAATTTATAATAGATTAATTTTAATAGAAAGTTAGTAAGGAAAACAATGAGAAAAGAAACTCTCTGAATAGGTAAAAGATAACCCAGAGATAATGTATAAAGACAGAAGAGAGGGAAGAGAATAGAAACAGGTATAAACATACTAATAAAAAGTAATATAAGTTGTTTGAGTGAGGAAAGATGGCAGAGCAGGAAGGCAAGGCAGAAACCTCCTCCCACATACACTAAAGAAGCAACTACAGCAAATACAACTAAACCTGAAGATGATCTGAAGACTGCAGATAAGACCACCTGCACATGGGGAAGAAGAGAAGGCCACACAGAGAAGAGTAAAGTGGCAGAGCCATGATGCAGCAGGACCAAAGCCTATCCCCCATCGCAGGCCACAGTTGGGAGGAAAAGGAATGGAGCAGAGAGCAGACAGCTACCCAGGAACTCTGCACACCTGGCCCAGAAGATCTGCTCTGGAAATGCAAACCCAAACTGCACTGGGTTCTGTTGATTAGATGGGCTGACACCAGGGGCAGTTGGAATGCTCTGGGAGGCTGAAACCCCAGCAACTTGTGGAGGACAGTCAGGCTCCACCAGTCCCACTGAGACCCAAAGCAAGTGTGGCAAATTTTTGGAAAGATTTGCCAGCAGTGGGAGGGGTGCCACAGGGGCAAGTGTTGGACAGAGCACTCTCCACAGAAGACAGGGCAGGTGGACAACACTTCCCCAGGCCTCCCTTGGCCCAACAATTCCATCATTCTCAGAAGTCTCAGATGCTCCCCACTTGTTAAAGGATTACCCTGATGGGATTTCCTGCACACTGCCAGAGCACCAGCCCACTCAGCCCAGCAGCATCAGAATTTGCAGCCTGGGAGGCAGAGGGAAGCTCTCCCAGCTTTCTCAGCCACGTCTCAGCTCAATTGGAGAGGTGCATGCAGGAGCCAGTTCCAAACACTCCATCTTCCCCTCAGGCAACAAAGCCCAGTGCTTCACGCCTTGCCACCACTAGGCGGCGCATGCGTGACTAGCGCAGCAGCCGAGTACCACAGCACATCCATGCGCCCTCCCCCTGTAAGACCTGCCATCTCCAGGCACCTGGAAGCCCTACCACTTTGTCACTGGCCTCCACCAGATGCCTGCCTGTCCTGCCACTGTGTGATTCCCTGTGCCACTGTGCTGCCCATACCATTAACCCTTCAGCCCTGCCATTGCTGCAGTGCAGGCAGAGCTCACAATAATCCCACCAAAGCCACTGGTGAGGCAAACTACAGGTCTCAGCAGACTGAGAAAAACCACTGCCAGCAGAGAGACAGAAAGGTGTGCTTGCCCACTGCCCACCAACAACAACTGGAGTTCCACAACAAGGAGAACCTGGCACTGGAGAGGAAAGAGTCTTGAGTTTCTAGGTACCACTGGTTGCCTCCTTCATAGAGCTTTAACTCTCTAGACTGGTAAGTTTAGCATACCATCTAATACAAAGGAAGAAACACAGAAACCATGATAAAATGAGGAGGCAGAGGAGTATCTTCAAAACAAAACTATAGGATAAAACACCACAAAGAGGGATAAATGAAACAGAAATCACCAATCTTCTTGATAAAGATTCCAAAATAACGGACATAAATATGCTCTCTAATCTGTAGAAAAGCATTGAAGATCTCAGGGAGGACTTCCACAAAGAGATAAAAGAGTTGAAAAAGAGCCACTAAGAATACAGTAACTGAAATGAAATATACAATGGAAGAAATGAATAACAGATTGCTGTAAGTAGAGGAGACACTCCATGAAATGGAAATTAGAGAAAAGGAACATAATGAAGGTGAGGAACAAGAGAAAAAAGATCTCTTAGGAATTAAAGAATGAAAGGAGAGGTGTGTGGCCAATCCAAACACAATGATATTTGCGTAATAGGGGTATCAGAAGGGGAAGAGAGAGACAAAGGAATAGAAAGTCTCTTTGAGGAAAAAATTCTTGAAAACTTTGCCAATCTGGGGAAGAAATTGACACTCAGGTCATGGAAGTACAGAGAGTCCCTTACAAAAGGAACCCCAGGAAGACAAAACCAAGAAATATAATAATTAAAATGACAAGTATTATTGAAAACAGCCAGAGAAAGAAATAGATTACTTATGATGAGCTTATGCCCATCAGGCTATAAGCCAACTTCTTAGAAGAAACTTTACAGGCCAGAAGGGAGTGGCATGAAATATTTAATGCACTGAAACAGAAGGACCTTCAACCCAAAATCTTCTATCCAGCAATATTATGATTCAAATTTGAAGCGGAGATTAAAGAACTCACAGATAAACTAAAGCTCAAGGAATTTATAACCACCAAACCAGAATTACAGGATATGTTAAAGGGACTGTTGTAGATGGAAATGCTCCTAAGCCTAATAGTTTTCACCAGTGGAAAAAAACAGTAAAGGTGGTAGACCAATTACTTTTCAAGCAAGTATAAAATTAAAACGAAAGTAGTCAAACCAACTATACACAACCTCAGTTAAGGGATACACCAAAAGTGGATATTATGACATCTAATACATAAAGTGTGGAAGAGGAAGAAGAAAAAACGTGTACTTTTAGATTGTGTTTGAAATAGAGCAAACATCAACTTAATATAGACCATTATAGAGGAAAGAAGCTACCTAGAACCTTAACCACAACCCTAAAGCCTATAATAGATATACACAAAAAATTAAAGAGAAATCCAACCACAACACTAAAGAAACCATCAAATAACAAGAGAAGAATGAAAAAGAGGAAGAAAGGAACAGAGGAGCTATAAAAACAACCAGAAAACAATTAATAAAGTAGCATTAACTACATACCAATCAATAATTACCTAAAATGTAAATAGACTAAACACACTGACCANTTGAAACAGGATTTGACAAAATTCAACATCCATTCATGATAAAAACTCAACAAAATGGGTATAGAGGGCAAGTACCTCAACATAATAAAGGCCATATATGACAAACCCACAGCCAACATGATACTTAACAGCAAAAAGCTGAAAGATTTTTTAAGGTTGGGAACAAGACAAGGATGCCCACTCTGCCCGCTATTATTCAACATAGTACTGGAGGTCCTCACCATGACAATCAGACACACAAAGAAATAAAAGGCATCCAGATTGGTAAGGAAGAAGATAAACTGTCACTGTTTGCAGCTGACATGATAGTGTATATAAAAAACTCTAAAGAATCCACCCCAAAAGATTAGAACTAATAACTGAATTCAGCAAAGTTGCAGGATACAAAATCAACACACAGAAATCTGTTGCATTCCTTTATACTAATGATGACCTAGCAGAAACAGAAATCAGGAAAACAGTTCCATTCACAATTACATCAAAAACAATTAAATACCGTAGCTCAGAGAAGACAAATAGGGACTCTGTGGCATCTTACTACACTGATGGACAGTGACTGCAATGGGGTATGGCAGAGACTCAATAATAAGAATGAATGTAATAACCACATTGTTTTTCTTGTGAAACCTTCATAAGAGTGTATATCAATGATATCTTGATAAAAAATAAAAATAAGAAAAGGATTAAATACCAAGGAATAAACCTAACCAAGGACGTGGAAGACCTATATTGCAAAAACTACAAGACACTCGTGAGAAAAATTAAAGAGGACACCAACAAATGGAAACACATCCCATACTCATGGGTAGGAAGAATTAATATGGTCAAAACGCACATCCTGCCTAAAGTAATCTATAGATTCAATGCAATCTCTATCAATATAGCAACAGCATTCTTCAAAAAACTAGAACAAATAGTTCTAAAACCACAAAAGACCCTGAATAGTCAGAGCAATACTGAGAAAGAAGAATAAAGCTGAGGGGATTATGCTCCCCAACTTAAAGCTCCACTATAAAGCCACAGTAATCAAGACAATTTAGTACTGGCACAAGAACAGACCCATAGATCAATGGAACAGAATTGAGAGCCCTGATATAAACCCAAGCAAATATGGTTTGTATCAGACAAAATAGACTTCAAAACAAAGAAAGTAACAAGAGACAAAGAAGGACATTACATAATGATCAAGGGGTCAGTCCAACAAGAGGATAAAACCATTATAAATATCTATGCACCAAATACAGGAGCACCTAAATAGGTAAAACAAATACTAACAGATAAAAGTGTGAAATAGATCACAACTTAATCATTTTAGGAGACTTTAAGACACCACTCACATCAATAGACAGATTAACCAGGCAGAAAATAAATAAGGAAACAGAGGCACTGAATGACACATTAGACCAGATGGACTTAACAGATATCTACAGAACACTG